TGTTGTATTTAGGTGCCCTAGCGGCAATCAAATACCTATGTAACTGTACACTTTATCATGAATGAAAGGCCTTGAAGTATGTTTTATATCTCGTGTAACATAACATAGCTTCAGTCCATAGACGATAGCGCTTCAGTAACATAGATGAGGACTACGATGTTCTGATTATGAGACTGTTACTTCTTGACGAAGGCTGTGTCTAGAATATCCCTAGTCGCACTTTATGATAATACGGACGTCATAACGTATCAAGACTAGTACGTACGAGATGAGATAGTTGCGTCTCATAGACTATAGGTATTGTGATATCTTAATCTGTACGTAGGTGCATATTATATTGATAATATGTGACTGGATTCACCCATCTTGAGAATACTGCATGGATCTACAGTAATGTGTTTATCAGTATTCTCAAATCGACCTTGCTATAACTATCCTCAGACATGAAGTTATTACATTCTCTGATATGTGGGGCCGTATGCTTTGATTCATAACTAATGCTATCTGAAATACTGGTAGACGTACCGTTGGGTATGCCGCTAAGCATATTTAGAGATGTGAATAACAGATACAGGATCTGTCCCTTCTACTGTATAGAAGTATAATGTCAATGGGCCCACTGAATAGTAGGACTTGGGAAAGTGCATGGCCATGCCCAGATATGTCGCTATCTAGAGACTGATGAATATCTGATCCCTTCCAGTCTACTTGAGATTCAGTAACAGCTGATTTAACTATACAAGGATACACATCCCATGCCTTGTGTTAAATCATGACATTTAGGACAGAAGGATAATAGTTATAGAACGTCTTGTGTCGTAGAAGGTATTGATGAGATGAACGTCTTTTTCATAATCGGGGGATAATAATGTGTTGCTAGATACCGCTTATTATCTATGGTATTAATTTATATTAATATCATTGCCAGTGTTATGGATACCTAAAGGGTCACACACTTAGGACTTGTAAGGAAGTAGTATACTACACTAGTGGGAGTAATATTAAATATATAGTTGTGATAATTTTATATATATATATGTATTTCGAAAAATACATATGTATTTTAAAATTATATTTTGTTTGTGTCATTTTAATTATATGATAATTATATTTTGACAAAACAAATATTATTATATATATATATATGTAGCGCCGATATATCTATATATATATATATACACATATATATATATATATATATGTATGTATCTATATATATATATATGTATATGTATATATGTATGTATGTATATATATATATATGTATGTATATATATATATATATATATGTATCTATATATATATATGTCTATATATATATATATATGTATATATATATGTGTATATAGATATATATATATATATATATATATATATATATATATTACTTTTATTTTCATCATTTTAATTATATGATAATTATTGATGTAAAAATAAAATGTGATGTATTTTAACATGCTATGGCCGAAAATATCAAAGGGAAAATACAAGACATAAATTGATTTTCTACCTAATGATATATTTGATTTTTTAATCAAATATTTGATTAACAAAAGTATACTTGTCTTGTTTTGTTGGTTGGGGACATTACACTAATCTCATTGTGTTTTTGTCCCTAAGCAATTTGCTAACATTTTCTTAATACATTGTATTATATAATGTGAGTATCCCTCCCCATTTTATAAGAGTAATTTTCGGCCACATAGAGAGAGAGAGGAGAAAATTATTATTTTGTGTTACAAGTTATTTTTCTAAAGTCTTAGAAATATACACAAAATATTATAAAGAAATATTTATAAGATAAATATTTTACTATATATTTATTACTCCCAAAGTAGTATTATTATAGTTTTTACTATCCTAAATTAAACTTGCTAGCACAAGTTTAATCTAGGACTCCGAGGCAAGTTTAATCTACGTTCATATCCTCAAAACCATCCCGACCGTTCGTCCGTTCTCTGTTTTCACCGTTAAGGTAAATTTCTTACTATAGCTAGTAATTTACGTAAGTTGTTCTTGGGTGGAATCGAGTTTTGGACTATAAATTATTGTTTTCCGCTGCATTATCCAAGCCTCGTTTCCCAACAGTGGTATCGGAGCCGGCTTACGAAGTTACTAGTTTAGTAGTTTTTACCGTTATTGTTTTTGTAGATTAGTCAATAAATTTTGGAGACAAAAATTTATCCCATTAAAATTTAATTAGGTGGCCATATTTAGATACTGGACCTAATATAATTTTGTTCAGTAATTTTCGGAATTATTGTTTGGGGTATTTTTATATTATTCTTATTAAGTAGTTTATGTGTAGAATACTTGTTATTTATGCCATAAATACTTAATATTTATGAAAATTAGATTTTATATTTTCTGTGAAGTATTTGACATGTCAATATAACTCAGAAATTTTAAAATCGATTTTTGGAATTAATTCCCTATTTTTCTATTTTTAAATTCGTTTATTGAATAGAAAATGGGAAAACTTATTTTTGACGATCAAAAATTAATTTTAATTCATAAAAAGTTTGGACCAGAGATTTTAAGCTTGTATAAAAATTTTCATAATTTTTAAACACGTAAAAATATTTATTTTGTATTTTTGAAGTAATTGGATCGGTACTATTCACTAGTCCGATTTTTAATTATTTTAAATTTCAAAATTAATATTTTAAATTCTAGAAAAATCATATTCTGGTTCTGGAACTTATTTTTGACTTGGAAATTAAATTTTGATATTTTTGGAATTTCGAAATATATTTTCACAATATAATTTCGGTTTTCTATCTTTGAAAAATGGTTTTGAAAATTTTAAATTTTATTCAACTTGGAATTTTAGGATTTCCAGATTAATAAAGTTTACTGGGAGTCTCCAACAATTATTTGCTAATTTAGAAAACATATATATATTTAATTCGAAATAAAAGCCCTTTTTCGAATTGAAATATATATAAATACGGTAAATATAAAATATTTTATTTTCTGGAATTTAGAAAATCTAATTTCTAACATTCTGGAAATTTAAAGTATTTTATGATTTTTAATTAAATTACTTGCTAGTTTAATTAATTTATTGTTGATAGTTTATTCCGTAGAATAGAATAAACTAGGTCTGGGGCGAGCGCGGTTCGCCCGGTGTATGCTTTAATATATATGATGTGATGCATGTGATGCTTGTATGTATTATTGCATGGTGGATGATTGTGGCTTAGTTATATTTGTTGTAATTTTAAATACGGCCTGCGTGTCGTGCCTCATCTCTATACTCTGGATGTAATTCTCTTCTTTACCTCAAATATTCTTTTCTCTCGAAAATTATAAGAAGATAAGAAGACGAAGTCCGTTCGTGATAGAGAATCCTAAGGAAGACGTGATGGGCCGGAGATAGAGATCTCTTGATCAAGGCGCTATCGTTTGTTTTTCTTTAGGAGCCACAATCATTTCACGTTTACTTATTATGCATGTGATGTATGATTGAATGTATGCATGTATGTGATTTTCGCTAGTGCAT